TTTGTTTCTGATTTATCTCCACTGAAAGCTATTTTTCTATCAATTGTTACTCAGTGTAATTTCTTCTGTTTCACTGTAAGAGTGGAAAATAATCCAAATGAGTCAAGAATGGTATGTTATTAAAAAATCAGATTACCATTTAAAAAAAAAACAAATGAAGTACTAATTATCTTAAATATTACACACTGCCTCTCTTATCCTCTAACATATACCCTCTTCTCCTCTGTCCACTGAATCTTATGACAAATCTATCACTTCCCAAATGCTTTAAAAAAGTAAAAGGTCAATGTCCATTCAAACTGATGTCCCCATCTTGAATGGCTCATTTTATAGGAAACCAGGCAGCAACTAATGAGCAGTTTCTATAACTACAGATAACCCGATATCACTGTCATATCAACATTACAGAGAACATCAAGTACAACAAAGAAAGAGGGAAAACGTCTCTATGGAAACCAAGAAAGGGTGGGAAAAGGTTCACTACTTGCATTATACTTGACAATAAAACAAAACCAAAAAATCCTTTTTTCCTCTTAATGAGATAGGTATGTGTGGCATGCCCAACACATTGCTCTCTAAAGCTAACCACACCAAATTTGTCAGTAAAAATGGAACCATCAAATTGACTAGAATGTACCAAGAGTTCATACAACACAGGTGAAAACATAGTGCCAGTACTCATAACAAAAAGGCATGTGCATCACAAATTGTTTAGAACTGTTTCCCAGCTTAACTCATGTCTACACTAACAAGGAATTATTTTTATAAGTTACCAAAAAAAACTAAACATTATCCTTCTAGATCTTTCACAGCATTTCTAACTAGTATAAAAACGAACTGGTTTCTTTCTTTCTCTTGCCACCCCTACTATATATCAAAAGTTAATAGGTGAATTCATGAGAAGACAAGCAAAATCACTAAATTTTAATACTAACACAAGGCCTATTTCAGCTGAAATTCTAACATACTCATCTTGTTTAGGTCACCCAATAGCCCCCATAAGGGTATTATCTTCATGGAAGAAAAGTTTCAGAAAACTAATTGACTTGTTGAAGTTGCAGTCAAAACTGCATCTTCTCCTCAAATTCTGTGCTCTACTGAAATTGGATGTTTCTGTCCCTCACAATAATCCCTGAGGTACCTCAAAGTCTAAAACTACAGAACTCAATTATGTTGTGAACGTACATTTCCAGTGTCAGGTAACCCCATATGCACTTCTTAGTGAAACACGTTCATAAAAAATTAAGAACAACTGATGAACCAAAGGCCCTCAATTTATACATGAAAGGACTACATGAGTGAAGGAAATGTCTCATGAGTGCCTCTCAACCAGCTAATGTAATAGTTGTGTATTAGTTTCCCAAGGCTGTTGTGACAAAGTACCACACACTGGGTGGCTTAAACAACATGAATTTATTTTCTCACAATTCTGGAGATTGTAAATGCGCAATCAAGGTGTCAGCAGAATTGCCTTCTTCTAAGGCCTCTTGACTTGATTGTAGATGGCCTCCTTTCTCTGGTGTCATGCCTTCCCTTTCTGTTTGTGTCCTAATCTTATAAGGAGTGGATTAGAGTCCATCCAGATGATCTTATTATATATATACATATATATATATTTAAAGATTTATTTAATTTTATGCATACAAAAACTGGGATACAGGCCAGAGGTGCAAGGGGGCGAGAGGATTCACCAGAGAGAGTGGGGAACAGAACAGGCAGATTGAAATACACTGCTGAGGGGAGCAGCGGGTGAGTCAGGAGAGGTCTGCAGCACCATGTGGATAGCTCCATGGTCAGGGATGAAACTTGTGCTGCTTATGGAACTTGTGGCTGTGGACAGCTTCATAGGTTGTCTTAACCCCTTGCGCCACCAGGGAGGCCCTTATATATATTTTAATTACCTCTTTAAAGGCCCTGTCTCCAAATATACATTTTGAGGTACTTGGTATTGGTAAAGGGGAGAGCATTAGGAACCAATATATAATTCAACCCTCTTGCCACCCAAAGTCATGTCCTTCTAATATGTAAATGCATTTACTCCATTCCAGCAGCTCCAGGGTCTTAATGGGATCCACCATCAACTATAAGTCCAAATGCCATCTGAATGTCATATATTAAGTTTGGGTAAATTAGATATATGATGCATCCTGAGACAAAATTCCTTTCCAGCTGGGAACCATGAAACCAGACAAGTTGCCTGCTTTCAAAATACAATGACAGGACAGGCATAGGATAGATATTTCCATTCCAAAAAGGAAAAATCAGAGATAGGTCCTAAGCAAGTCCAAAACTTAATTCCATTAGCTTTTAAAGCTGAACAGTAATCCTCTTAGGCTACAGGCTCTATCCTTCAAGTCCACTGAGGAGGGGACTTTGCCTTCCAGGCCCTCCAGTGTGATAGTTTCACCCCTTCAGGCCTTGGCTCTAACTCTGTGGTGGCAATGACAATCTGCCAACCTTTGAGTAGCTTCTTGGGTCATTCTATTAAGAGCAAAACATTCATAGCCAGATAGCTCTACTTATCTTGTAGAATCCAGACGTCTGACAGCCTTTCTTTATTTCATCCTATCTCTGCCCCTTTTAGTCCAAGCTGGCATTGTCTTTGCTGGCATAGTTCCATCTCCATTCCTGCTTAGATAGCTTCATGGATCTGTAAGTCACACGTTCATAATCTCTTCAGCAAATGCTTGTCTAGCAACAACCTTGATGTGGCCTCCAGACCATTCCTTCTAATTTTCACAATATGGACAGGCTGAGAAGCTTCTAAAACTTCAAATTTTTGTTCCTTTTTACTTAACATTTCTTCCTTCAATTTATGTCTCTCCTCTGCATTTTATTACAAGCAGAAAGTAGAAACCAGGCTATGCCTTTTAATACTTTACATAGAAATCTCAGCTAAATATTTCAGTTTATTACATACATGTTCTATTTTCCATAAAATACTGGAACACAATTTTGCCAATTTCCTTGGCTGGCCCTTCCTCCAGTTTGCAATAACATGCTTTCTTTTCTGCCTCAGATCTCACCAGAAATACACTGAACATTATTTCTTCCAACATTCTGCTCAAGATCATATATGTATATATATATGATATATACATATAAGCCTTCAGCAGAATTGCCTTTAACATCCACATTTCTATCAATAATATCACCAGGCAATATGCACCTCAAAAATTCCAATCTCTACTATACTCATGTCCAAAGCCATTTCTACATTTCAGGTATCTGTTAGAGCAGCATGCCACTTCCCATTACTAAAAGCTACTATTAGTTTGCTAAAGCTACTTAAAAAAAAATTTATTTATGCACACAAGAGCTGGGGTACAGGCCAGAGACGCTGGGGGTGAGAGGATTCACCAGAGACAGAACGGGGAACAGAACAGGCAGACTGACTGAAACACAGTGCTGAGGGAAGCAGTGGGTGAGACAGGAGAGCTCTGCTGTGCCATGTGTTTCTCTCTGGCGGGCCGGGGATGGACCTCATGCTGCTGAAGCTGCAGATTGCTTCATAGTGCAGTGCTTAAACCCTTGTGCCACCAGGGAGGTCTATTTGTTTGGTTTTAATAAAACAGTCTCCTCCTCAGTGGCGCAGCAGTTGAGCGCTGGGCTGCGAAGCTGCCCACAGCCTCTGCAGTGCTGGTTCGATCCCCAGCCGCCAGCGAGGGTCCCACAAGGCGCGCAGACCTCTCCTGCTACCCGCTGCTCCCTTCAGCAGTGTACTTCGTCAGTCTGCCTTCTCTGCTCTCCCCTCTGGCTCTGGTGAATTCTCTCACCCTCCCACGCTTCTGACTGTACCCAGTGCTTGTATAAATAAATAAATAAATCTAAAAAAAATCTATTAAAAAAACAAAAATAGAAGTCTAAGTAGTGGGGGCCAGGGCATCAACATGAATTTTTAGGAAACACAATCCATATTTTCTATTCCTATTCACTACTGTATGAATATAATACCACTCCTGCCCAGTCACTGTACTAGCTGATGATCACTTATTTATTTATTTTTTAAAGATTTATTTATTTATACAAGAACTGGGGTACAGGTAAGAGGTACGGGAGGGTGAGAAAATTCACCAGAGAGAGCAGGGAGCAGAACAAGCAGACGACCGAAGACATTGCTGAGGGGAGCAGCAGGCGAGGCAGGAGAGGTCTGCCATGCCATGTGGGTTTCTCCCTGGCTGGCCAGGAATCAAACCCACGCTGCAGAGGCTGCGGACAGCTCTACAGAGCAATGCTCAACCTGCTGTGCCACTGGGGAGGCCCTCATCATTTCATAGTGAGTAAAACAGGTACAATCTTGACTGAAAATAATGGGGTAAATAATCGTCAAAATGAATAAAGAAAAAGCACATATAACATGTACTTTGGCCCAAGTCTTCTACATCCACAAAAGCACTGTTGAAAAGCTCAAATGTAAAGCATGAATACAGAAAGGGATTGTGCAAACAGAACGTTCCAGGATGAGAAAAAAAATCAGCACATTGAAGGAAATGAGAGGTGGCTCATAGGACTGGAATACATAAAGTAGAAAGAGTAATAAAACATGAGGTTGGCTAGGAAGGCATGGTCCACATGACCAAATTCCTAAATATCATATTACGGTATTTATCCTAATAGCAATAAAATGGGAACAGGAATAAAAATAAAATGGGGGCCTTCCCGGTGGCGCAGCGGTTGAGCGCTGGGTTGCAAAGCTTCCCGCAGCCTCTGCCGCGCCGGTTCAATCCCCGGCTGCTCCCCGGCCACCAGAGGAGGGTGCCACATGGCACGCAGACCTCTCCTGCCGCCCGCTGCTCCCCTCAGCAGTGTACTTTGTCAGTCTGCCTGTTCTGTTCCCCGCTCTGGCTCTGGTGAATTCTCTCACTCTCCCGCACTTCTGACTGTACCCAGTGCTTGTATGTATAAATAAATAAATAAATAAATAAATAAATAAATAAATAAATAAATAAATAAATAAATAAATAAATGTTAAAGAAATTAAAAATAAATAAAATGGGAAGCACTCATATTTATCTTCCTTCCAGTAAAATCATGTTGCAGCATTTTGAGTAGTGTCCTAAGTAGGGCAGAAAATAACTATGGAAAAGCTAAAATTGAGATTACTTAACCTGAAAAAGGCAATAACTGAATATATACTATTTTTCAAATAGAGAACTGTTATATGAAGACATGCATCAGTACCAACTATTCTTCATTGCCGAAAAAGGATACTGTGTTCAAACTGAAAAGATATTTGAGCACTTGACTTTTTTTTTAAATTACACTTAGAATCAAAGTACTTTTGAAGAAGGTTTATGAAAAATGACTGATCTTTCTGTTGAATCACTTTATGGTTAGGAAAAATACTTGTAGAATTTTTCTCAGGTTGTCAGGGAATTCTTCTGCAGTATTGTAGGGCAAAAAGATGGTATGCTGGGCCTCCCTGGTGGCGCAAGGGGTTAAGACGCAACCTATGGAACTGTCCACAGCTACTGTGCAAGTTCGATCCCTGGCCAGGGAGCTACCCACATGGCACAGCAGACCTCTCCTGACTTGCCCACTGCTCCCTTCAGCAGTGTATTTCAGTCAGTTTGCCTCTTCTGTTCCCCACTGTCTCTGGTGGGTCCTCTCACGCCCCCACACCTCTGGCCTGTATCCCAGTTCTTCTATGCATAAATAAATAAATCTTTAAAAAAAAAAGTTGGTATGCCAATTTATTTAATTGTTAAGAGAACGGAAATCATTACCAAAGATGATACCACTAAATCTATGCCTTTTGCTGCTACTAAATATTTGTTGTGAATGGTCATAGTAAAAAAACTAAGTAATAATTTGTTATGATTCTATAAACTAAGAATTACTCTATTTATATGGGTTACAAATGTTAAAACATAACAAAACAAAAAACGTTAGCCCTGATAATTTTCAGTTACTGCATTCATTTTAGAATATTACATAAAAGTTCAATAAAGACAAGCAAACCTATTGTTCAAGATACGAATACATTAACAACCACATTTCTTCAACATTTCTCAAAGAGACCGCCACTGAATTTCTTTATAAATACTTAGAAAATCAGGCTCAGATAATCAGATACTTCTGCCCTAACAAAATCAAGTATGGCAAAACAAATATTTCATATCCTTTGTAATCACCAACTCTTTTTAATTTTAATCTATAAATAAAATTGGAAAATTCCACTATATCAGATAACATAAGCAAATGTAAAATACTTATAGCCACCTTATCATTCCAACAACAAAATACAATCCAACCTTTAGTAAACAATCTTACTTTGAAGCAGATATAAAATAAGAAAAAGCTAACATATCCTCTTGGACCAGTGAACAATGAAAATGAAAATTATCAATTTAAAGAGAAAGTAATAGCAAAAGTTTAATTTAATTATCACACAAGTAGTTTTACTAACAGGATTCTAATAAAAACAAATGAAAAATTCGCTTATCAAAAAAGGAACAGTAATTTTTAGACCATGCTTATAGAAAAGCAACTAAACAGTCTTATAAAAAGAGGAAAAGGGGACACATAGTATATCTAACAATTGTTTTACCTTTCCCAAAATTAAATCCTTCTGTACTATTTTCAAAACATGCTAATTTACATAATAAAATACTGGGAAACAAGCCCTAATACCAAGTATCACTCTGAAACAAAAGCATATGAAAATACTCAATAAATGAGTGTGTATAACAGTTATACACAAAATCTAAATTAGCATACTCCTACTATATCCTATTTAGTAAGGATGAACAAATATACACATACATATATATGCTAAACAAGATAAAGGTACTATCCATTAAAATATAAACAGCATTGAACGGTACATTAGAAATCATATTTCTATCTCACTAAATGTGATGCATTGAGAGTACTCTGTTTAGTTTTGGGAAAACATTTAAGAAAAGTTAAAAATAACAGCAGATTTTAAAACAACAAATAAAGATTATAGGACTCAGGATTGGCTTATCAGGGAGAAAGTTTAATGGCCATGAAATAGCTCACAAAACAAATGAAGGATGATAATGATTTTTTAACAAATATCATATAATTGGCTGAGGTTTTTCTCCTAAAAAAAAGAGTAAACCAAAAAAAGATTAAGATGAATTATAAGATCTCCAAAACGATTTCCATTTCAATTCTTAAATTTTAAGTGAAGGAACATAATCTAAGAAAGAAGTCTATCCAGTGTGAGATAGTTAGCTCTACAGAAAAATTCTAAGTAGGAGAACTAAAACATGCTATAGGACAAACCTTATAATTAATGCTAATAAACTATCCAAAGTATTTTTATATTAGAATTAAACTGTGTTAAATTAGAGAAAAGTAATACAATATATGGGTGACCTGAGGAACTTTTTAAAATTATATAGTAATTTTCCTATTTACCCTTTCTAAAATTGGGAAGTCCTTAAGAAAATGGTTTGAGAAGAATGAGGAATATATATATATATATATATATATATATACACACACTATATATTACATGATGAAAATACATACCATGTCTATTATGGAGAAAACTGTGGGATTAATACAAATACCATGTAACATTTGATGGTGAATTTAGGCTTACCTAAGTGATACCCTAATTACAGCTTAAAAATATTTTTGTCCCACACATGAATTTGCTGAAACATAATTTACCTGTATTACAAGTAGTAGAATCAAGTAAGGTGCTTATACAAATCAGCATTTCTTGGATATTCAAGGTAGTCGAGGAAAAATACTTAAGTCTTATGAAAAGTTAGATTTAGGTATGAACTATATAAAACTGCTCAACATTATCTACAAAATAGATTACATCAGTTTAAAATTCAATTGTAGAAAAACATTCTAGTTCCTACCCACTCAGGTGTTTTCATAATAAATAAAGGTTTATAACAAAAGATTATAAAAACATTTAAAATAAATTTTATATAAATTTATTTACACTTTAGATTTTTAAAAACTGTATTTTTTTTTAATTGAGGTAATGTTGGTATACAACATATGGGTTCACACCTCTTTATATGTATATTAACCAGATTAAACCCTCTACCAAGGCACCATAGTTTTCTACCATAGTCAACTGGGCCCCTTCTACACTTTTAACAACTTTCTGGGCACATTCTTTATAAAGAACAATCTTTTTCATTTGAAACTATTTAAAATTCAAGACAGGCTCACTGGTTTTTTTCAAGGGCAAGCAATAGGTGTGTTAGCTGAAAACAATCAACTCAATTGTAATACAGACTTGATTATGTGAGCCTAGAAAGCCTCCCCACCTGGCTCCCCTGTGAAGGAGAAAGACTTTGTGTGCTTTTGTGTGTCGGTTCCACTGAATTCATTACAATAGAGATGGACATTTGATATTCGTAACGATCCAACATCTGAGCAATCTTCTTTCGAGACACACCATGTTTATTCCTCCTACCAAAAAAGAAAAGGATTTTAATTCTTTTTCTTAGATTGCATAGATTAAACTGTTTTGGAGTAATAGTACAGATTCTAAATTAAATTTTATTTTGCAAATAAATATTAGAATATATATCTCATTTACCTGTGTTTTCTACGCATAAAAATTTATATTGGCTCCCTCAAAGTCTTTAATAACATTTTAAAAGGGTTTATGGATACCATATATCACAGCAAAATGTTAACTTTTTTTTTTTTAAACTTATTTATTTATCTATACAAGCACTGAGTACAGTCAGAAGCGAGGGAGGGTGAGAGAATTCACCAGAGTCAGAGCGGAGAGCAGAGCAGACAGACCGACGAAACACACTGCTGAGGGGAGCAGCGGGTGGCAGGAGAGGTCTGCGTGCCATGTGGGACCCTCACCAGGTGGCTGGGGATCAAACCGGCACTGCAGAGGCTGCGGGCAGCCTCGCAACCCAGCGCTCAACCACTGCGTCACCGGGGAGGCCCAGCAAAATGTTAACTATTATACTTTCTTCACACAGACCTTACTACTCAATTACTGAACCACTAAATTAATCTTGTCCCTTTTTAACATTCAAATTCAAAGATTATGAGACATTGTTTTGAGAATTATAGAAGACACAGCTGGACATTATAGAACTTATAACAATCAAGGGTTTTTTTTTTTTTTTTTTAATTTTTAGTTGTTGTGGGAATCCTCCTGTTACATTTTAAAAGTGCATTATCAATACCAAATTACTACTAAACATACTACACCTGGGCATATCCCACAAACCTAATTTGAGGTAAAGAAAATAGATATAATGAACACATACTGTATGATTACATTTATATGAAGTTTGGAAAAAAGGGCAAAATTGAACTATAGTGTTATGGCACAGATGTTTTAGGAAAAAAAGAAGATGCTTTATAGAAAACCAAGGAAATAATTGCCAGGGAATTACTACTGGGAAAAGGAATACAATGAACACTCTCATGACATGTGTAATGGTTAAGTATTTGCCTTATAAGAAATTTGTCAAGCTCTAGTGGTCAAAATGGAAGGAAAAGTACAAGGAAATATGGTGATGTTCATGGGGGCTATGGAGGTGGGAGACTATGGGGACAACAACTGTACAAAAATGAACAATGATGTAAGAAAATAAATCAAAAGAAGAAAAAAGAAATTTGCTAAGCTGTATATTTATATTTATGTACTCTTCTATAAGTGAGTTTAATTACAACAAAAAGTCATTTAAAAATTATTATTGAATCTCAAAGAACATTTTAGTTTATTTTACTCTGATACTTTTCTGTATTTCATCAATTCAATTATTCAGTATAACTCAAGTCTTTCATTTTAAAAACTTCTGTCTTGGGCCTCTCCGGTGGCGCAGCGGTTGAGCGCTGGGTTGCGAAGCTGCGCACAGCCTCTGCAGCGCCGGTACCATCCCCGGCTGCTCCCTCCGAGGAGGGTCCCGCATGGTGCACAGACCTCTCCTGCCGCCCGCTGCTCCCCTCAGCAATGTACTTTGGTCCTTCTGCCTGCTCTGCTCCCCGCTCTGGCTCTGGTGAATTCTCTCACCCTCCCGCGCTTCTAACTGTACCCAGTGCTTGTATGTATGTATGTATGTATGTATGTATGTATGTATAAATAAATAAATAAAATCATAAAAAAAAACCTTCTGTCTTATTCTACCTGAGGAGCAACATACACAATTAAGCAGGCAAGTAATACCAGACAATAAGTCTATCAGTTTACCTCTTCACATACGAATATATGGCAGGCAAATCAGAAAAGGTAAGAAAGGGACCGAAAGAAATGAAAAGCGGGCCTTCCTGGTGGCGCAGCGGTTGAGCGCTGGGTTGCGAAGCTGCCCGCAGCCTCTGCAGTGCCGGTTCAATCCCCGGCCACTGGTGAGGGTCCCACATGGGGCGCAGATCTCTCCTGCCGCCTGCTGCTCCCCTCAGCAGTATGTTTCGTTCAGTCTGCCTGCTCTGCTCTGCTCTGCTCTCCGCTGCTCTGACTCTGGTGAATTCTCTCACCCTCCTGCGCTTCTGACTGTACCCAGTGCTTGTATAAATAAATAAATCTTAGAATAAAAACAAAAAAAGAAAGAAATGAAAAGCAAGTGGGAAAGAATTAAATTAGTTGGACACCCAACTAACTTATGCTATACAAATAACAAATTTGAGCTGGAAGAGGGCAAACTGATGTGGAAGTTAAAAACTGGTTTAAAACAAGAGATGATAGTTGCACAACTTTGTGAGTATACTGATAGCCACTGAATTGTACACCTTTATGGGTACACTGTGAGTATTTCAATTATATCTCAAAGTTGCCAAAGGAGGTGGGATGGGGAAGAAAAGTAAAGAAATGAAGAGTCAGGAAAACTGATGACAGGAGGGGAAGGGGATAAAGGTAAACACACATGGAAGAGCAGGGCTGAAAATAATACAAGTCCACAATCCCTAACTACACATTCTGAAATCTAAAATACTCTGAACATTCAGTTTTCTGTTGACTCATATGCAGCAAATCTAACCAGAACTGTATTCATTTACACAATCTACCTAGAATTGACATTAGATTATGTTGAATTTTTTTCTACTTAGAATAACTGGTGAGGATTTGCTGCAGGAAAAATGAGATGTTTGATTATGACAAGATGCCCTCAACACTGCTAAGGGGTTTTTACAATTAGGTGTATGTACTATATTACCTTTCTGCAATTCCTCCCCTCCCCCAAAAAAACCTGAATTCTAAAACACATTGATTACAAGAATCTTTGGATTATCAATCTCTAGTAGTAGAGAGAGAAAAGCAGGGGGAGGTGGATGAAAGCACCAGGCACACAGGTGATATGACCTAAAGCAGGAAAGAGATGAAGTTGGAAAAGCAATGCAGAAGTGGTCTAGCTAAAAGCCAAGGGGAAAAACCGCGTATCTTTCCCTAAGCTCTGGATCTCCATTAGCATTCCAATAACACTGTGAAACAATGTAGGTATTCACATAAGTAGCCAAAACACTTACCAAGGAAAATTTAGTAACATAACAAGGCAAAGGGACTCAAAACCTTGAATTTAAGTCAAAGTTCCTCTTACTACAAAGTAAAAAGTAGTAGCCCCTATTCACAAGTAGCAAAGATATAACAAGCAAAAGCTAGTAAAGAAACTGTGTAAAAAGAAAACAAAGAAAAAAGATAAGGATTCAATAAAATTAGAGCGCCTTACTTTTCTAATTCTTCAGGATCAAATTTCCACCAAGTTTCAGGTTCATGAAACTCTACACTGTATCCTTTTCCTATGGCCTACACAAAGGAAAGAAAGAAAAAAATTCAGAGAATATTTTTTTAAAGTAAAAAAGAAGGCAGCAAATAATAATTTCATTTAGATAATACTTTTAACTTTGCTCAAACAAGAAAAATTTTACTTTTAAAATAAAATGCTACATTTGTCCTTATTAAAATATTCAGACCACTTACTAGATATTCCAATAATTAGCCTTAAGTTCAGGCAAGACTAACAAGGTAATAAGCATGTTCCTTAATAATCACCATTCCCAATTTTTCAAAAACTAATAAAATGAACATTAACTCTTTAGAAGAAAAAGACAAATGTGTTAATAACAAATATCAAAGTAACCTAAATTTCATATATTAAAAAAAACTCATATTTCATATTTACCATTTCCACATATGGTTTCATTTCCCAAGCTTGTGTATTAGTGTTGTCTATTATAACTGGAGAGCGCCCCTGATTGATGGCCTGTTTTGCTGAAATAACAAGTAAATTTAAAAAAAAAAAAAATTTAGAACCTAGTTCATAAATAAAATTTAAACAATTCATTATTAAGAAATTCTCTATATCTCTATATTTAAACCAAAACTGCAATATTAGTGCCATTAATAATAATTAAATAATAACTCGGATAAACTGAAAGGGAATTAAGAAATATAGTCACATGTTATGTATGTATATTCTCTGGACTGGATGCTGGTTATGTCCAACTAGCTATAAAGGAAATTTGGGGGAAAATATTCTGTCGAACTGAAAGTTAATGAAGCCTTCAGTCCAGAGCTAACTTTCATCTACAGGAAATACAAGATCAAGTTACAAAGGAATATGGTCTAAGTATGAGAAGAGGTGAACACTTATTTGTAGCGGGGAGGAATATCAGGGTAAGGACAGAGGTGCAGAGGTGAAAGAATTTACCAGACAGAGTGGAGAACAGAAAAGGCAGATTTATTGAAATAAACTACTAAAAGAAGCAGCACATGAGATAGGAGAAGTCTGAGGATTTGGGGCTCTTTTTATATCCATATTCACAGGCTTTTCTGATGGGGAGTTGACTGGAATATCAGGTTTCCGTCAGCCTTCCCTTCAAGTGATGTCTGGGTTCTGTATGCCCTGTTTCCACATTCTCCAGAATTCTGACAGCTCTAGGTCATGTAGACCCATGGTCTGGTTCCCATGGCGATTTTATCAGATTCCCTTTCTTACTTTGTGTCTCGTAGCAGTGTTCTGCTGAGCAAAATGCAGACTAGATTTTAACTTTCATAAATGTACCCCGACATTACTGACATCGAAAGATGGAGACTGTTAACTGAAAATATCAACTTACAAGACAACATGTATAATCTTACTTTGGTTAATATAAAGAGGTGGAAAGAATTATTAAGTTATCAAAAAGTATATCTGCAATGTAATGCTTTTGAAATAAGACTTTTAAATTTTTTTTACAATGCTGTAGATTTATCATTACTAACAAAACTTTATATATCACGTAACTAAATACCACAGTTCAATTGACTGTGGCTGTTTCTTAGTACTATGATTCTCAAATTGGGACAGGAAATGAAAGGAACTTTTCTAAACTAAATCTTCCTCCCCCTTCACCATCTCTTGCCCTGTGAAATGGGAATCACCACCACAGTGAGCCAATACTAATGACAACAGCACAGTATGTACTCCTTAAGTGTAACCAAATAGAAAAAGAACCCATGATAAGATTTAAAAGACTGAGGGGAAAAAATGCAATGGCATGGAAGTCGTCTTGGTGTTTAAAATACAAACCACTGATTTCTACATAATGAAAACATTTATACAGATATCTAGGGCAAACAGAATTGTAAAGGTTAAACAGTGATGACTACAATGAAATGCATATTTGGGATGACATCTCTAGAATATAAAAGAAATATAGAACTTGGGTCATAAACAGGATACCAAGATGGTACCATCGCCCACTATTCCATCCTCAAATAGAAAGTGATCAAACCTTTCATAAAAATAACCTTATTGTAGAATTCTCCTGTTTCATAGTTATGCTTATACCTCCAAGAAGTTACTTTCTAGAAGAGGAGCTCATTAACCGACTCTCTGATTTGCAGTAATCCTCTTTCCACAAATAATAATCATCTAATACCACATTCTATTACTCCAAGAGAATAGAGCTCCTAAGTCAACAGTGTTTGAATACTCAAATAATGAGTCATTTTCTTAAACTAACCTTCAGATGCTAAGATTATTTGAAAAACAAATACAACGTTTGGGTAAAGTAAGGTATCAGAATGTTGCCTGGAATGTAAAGGCATTTAATAAGTACTTGTTGAAAAGGGAAATTTTGCCCCAAATTAAGTCATGATTATAATTTTCAAAATATCTAATAATTGCCAGTTATTTTCTAGAACATAAAAATTAGTTGATATTTTTATACTGATAATAAACCAGAAGTTTATCTAGATACCACTAAATAGTTCAGCAATTAAAATTTACATGGCATAAACATTTTAATTAAATATTCTAGACTAGTATTACAAAGAGAAAAAATGTCTTACTCGAACTCCCCAATACAAAAATCACACACTGGCTCAGCCTACTGGCTCTATTCATGCCACTATCAACCTATTCCCCTTAATTTTACGCTTCAAACATTTTTGGAATTGCTATGCCATCATTACTTGATCTGGGCAATAATGTTCTGAAGCAATTTTAGAAATCAAAAGGAATTAATATTTTTTGAAATCTTTATGCCTCTCTAATATATTTGTTGAAAGTCAACGAACCATTACCAGGAATTAGCCTTACAATCAAACTTACTTCACATTTAAATTTTCCTGTGAAACTAAGCACTGAAATAGATCTGAAACATTTTACTCAAAAATATCCTCATTGAAATGCCTTACTCTAAAAATTGATAATAAAAAAGGAATACATTTATTCTGCTTTTCCTATATATAATGTTCACCTGGGTACTGCTAGTTGCTAGTTATAGTTGAAATGAAGAGCTCCATGACAGAAGAATTCTCACTACTACACACAGGAAGAATGACAGACTTAAAAAATCACTATTTTGCTACACTGAGCTCATCCAGAAAACATTTCATTGCTAAATATAACCACTACCGATACTAAGGTTGATAGGGAATTTTACAAAGGAGGGAGTAGGCTGTCTCTTTGAAGATACAGATCAATCTTAGGACAACTAGGTATCTGCTTGTCAAATATAAAAAATTTAAACCTAATAAATCCTCCAGACTAGATCTAACTTCCATTTAAAGAAATAACTGGAAAAAAAGAGGCAACAAGCTAAATAGTTACCACAAGAAAATAATTGATAAATAAAGAATAGTTATGGAAAATTTGACAGGACAAGGCAAGTTTCTGCAACAGGTTAAGAGCATGTGGCATGAGGGCAGGCAGAGATGGGGGAGGAATTGCTATAGATTTATATAATATAAAGAAACAAGAAACTAAATGTGCCCCCAAGAACCTTGTTTGGACCCTGATTCAAGCAAAAAAAAAAAAAAACTGTAAGGAGATTATTTATGACAATAGGGGAAAGTCCTTCTACAGATTGGATAGTTCAAGATTTCATGGAATTGTGTTCTTAAAAAATGGCACTGCAGGGCCTCCCTGGTGGCGCAAAGGGTTAAGCACTGCACTATGAAGCAAACCACAGCCTCTGCAGCATGAGTTCGATCCCCGGCCAGCCAGGGAGTAACCCACATGGTGAAGCAGACCTCTCCTGTTTTGCCCGCTGCTCCCTGGAGCAGTGTGTTTCAGTCAGTCTCTGCCTGTTCTGTTCCCCACTCTGTCTCTGGTGAATCCTCCCCCCCTCCGTCTCTGCCCTGTACCCCAGCTCTTATATGCATAAATAAATAAATCTTTAAAAAAAAAAGGCATTGCAGTTAAGTAAAAAGAAATGCACACACACACAAAAAAAATGACTAGAATCCTCTTTAAAATACCTCAGCAAATTAAGGGGGTAGGGAACAAAAAGGATAGAAAAAGTCAATACAGCAAAATACTGATAATAATTCTGACTGATGGGTGGGTATATGGGATTGATTGTAATTTCTCTACTCAAGACTTAAGAATGTTCATAACAAAAACAATTTAATCATCACTGCATTCTTCATCTTTTTAAAAGTAAATTAACTTATATGCATTTGCTTACATAGTTCTAGATCAATAATATGCAATCCTGACTGCACATCAGAATACCCAGATGACTTTTAAAAAATGTCAATGCTTACAGCCCACTCCAGAACAAACAAAACACAATCTCTGGGCTAAGACACAAGCATACATATATTTTTACAAGGATCCTAAGTAGTTCAAATGTGCACCATAGTTAAGAAGCACTATTCCAAGGTGAAAAGAAACTATCATGTGCCTCTACAAAATATAATTTAAGGGCCTCCCCGGTGGCACAGCGGGTTGAGCACAGAGCTGTGAAGCTGTCCACAGTCTCTGCATCGTGGGTTCAATTCCTGGCTGGCCAGGGAGCAACCCACATGTCACAGCAGACCTCTCCTGTCTTGCACGCTGCCCCCCTCAGCAGTGTACTTTGGTCATTCTGCCTGTTCTGCTCCCCACTAGGTCCCGGGTGAATCCTCTCACCCTCCCTCGCCTCTGGCCTATACCCCAGCTATTGTATAAATAAAAAATAAATCTTTAAAAAATATATATAATCAAGTAGATTTTTTGGTAGAATAATATTAATGAGAAAAACTTAATTATTCACTGGCATTATATTAAACCTTAGGAAACACAGCAGTACTCCTTAAAAAATAGTTTTTTGGGGGGCCTCCCTGGTGGTGCAGCAGTTGAGTGCTGGACTGCGAAGCTGCCCGAAGCCTCTGCAGCACTGGTTCAATCCCCGGCTGCCAGGCGAGGGTCCCACATGGCGCATAGACCTTTCCTGCCGCCCGCTGCTCTCCCCTCTGCAGTGTATTTCGTCAGTCTGCCTGTTCTGCTCTCCGCCCTGGCTCTGGTGAATTCTCTCACCCTCCTGCACTTCTGACTGTACCCAGTGCTTATATGAATAAATAAGATAAATCTTTAAAAAAAAAAAAAAAGCTTTTTTGAGAATACCTAATTGTAGCATGAGAGGTCTCTGAATTTATTCGAGATATAAAATAAAGCCTATCAAAATGCCCTGCAACTCTCTTTTACCAGCTTATATTGGTAAACTATTTACAGTTTACTAAATACCCAAATTATGATTTTCATAAAAACCATGATTATGCAAGGCAAGTATAATTATCACTGCTTCTAACAGGAAAAACTTGAGTTTTAAAACTGTTTAACTCACTTGCAAAAGCAGCTGTTCAACTGTCTAAATTGCTCCAAGTCTAACTTGAAAATAAAACCCACACCCTCTGACTCTTAGTCAAACAGTCTATGCCATTATAGACACAAAACAAACCTCTGTTCTGGTTCCAGTCATGAGCATCACCAAGTTGATTAACATTATACCTGTACCCATCTTGATGGAGAAAATAGTCATCAGTGCTGAACACAATGCCATCACGACTCTGACCAAGCAGAATTCTGTTAATAAAAGAAATCATAAAGGTGCTATTTATAAAACCTATAACCATCAGAAATAAGCTACAGAGGAATGGCTATTAAATAAATTTCTTTTACTTACCTGTAAGTATATAGCAAAAATACAGCACAGGAACTGAACTATCTTAAAAAGCTTTCAGATTTCGGAACTTCCCTGGTGGCGCAGGGGTTAAGTCTCAGCACTATTAATCTATCACCAGCCACTGCAACAAGAGTTAGCTGGCTCACATGGCCCAGCAGACCTCTTCTGTCTTCGCCCACTGCTCCCCTCAGCAGTGTATTTCAGTAGATCTATCTGCCTGTTCTGCTCCCCACTCAGTCTCTGGTGAATCCTCTCACAGCCCCCCCCCCACACCTCTGGCCTACACCCCAGTTCTTATATGCATAAATAAAAATAAATCATTAAAAAAAAGCTTAGACTTCAACTATCACTTCACACTTAAATCCACATAATTATAGCCGTATCAAAAAACTTTTTTTGATAAATGGATAAAGAAAATGTGTGTGTATATGTGTATGCACATGTACAGAGACACACACAGGAATGTTATTCAGCCATAAAAAAGGGAAATCTTGCCATTTACAACAACATGGATAAACTTTAAAGGTATTATGCTAAGTGAAATAAACCAGACACAGAGAGGTAAATACCATATGATCTCATGTACATGTGAAAAATAAAAATATTAAATACCAACAAAAATCACAAACTGGGGCCTCCCCTGGTGGCACAGGCAGTTGAGTGCAGCGCTGTGAAACTGTCCACAGCCCCTGCAGCGCGGGTTTGATCCCGGCCGGCCAGCGAGAATCCCACATGGCATGGCAGACCTCTCCTGTCTTGCCTGCTGCTCCCCTCAGCAGTGTATTTCACTCAATCTGCCTGTTCTGTTCCCCGCTCTGTCTCTGGTGAATTCTCTCACCCTCCCATGCGTCTGACCTGTACCCCAGTTCTTGTATGTATGAATAAATAAATCTTTAAAAAAAAATCCCAAACTGGGCCTCCCCAGTGGCGCAGCGGTTGAGCGCTGGCTTGCGAAGCTACCCGCAGCCTCTGCAGCGCCGGTTCGATCCCCGGCTGCTCCCTGGCCACCGGAGGAGGGTCCCACATGGCGCACAGACCTCTCCTGCCGCCCGCTGCTCCCCTCAGCAGTGTACTTCGGTCCTTCTGCCTGCTCTGCTCCCCGCTCTGGCTCTGGTGAATTCTCTCACCCTCCTGCCCTTCTGACTGTACCCAGTGCTTGTATAAACAAACAAACAAACAAACAAATAAATAATCTTAAAAAAAAAAAATCCCAAGCTGATACAAAGAACAGAGTGGTGATTTGGGGGGGGGAGGGGTGTGAAAAGGGGTAAAGGTGGTTAAAAGGTACAAACTTAGAGTTGTAAAATATATAAATCATGGAGATGTAATGCATAGCACAGCGACTACAATTAATAATACCAGTATTGTATATCTGTAAGTGCTAAAAGAATAAATTTTAAAAGCTTTTATCATAAAAAAAATAATGATGCTGGTAATGGATATTAACTAGACTTAATGTGGTGATCATTTCACAATATCAAATCATTATACACCTGAATCTATTATATGTCAAATATCTCTATTAAAACAAACTACTTTTTAAAATATTTATTTATTTATGCATATGAGAACAGGGGTACAGGCCAGAGGCATGGGGTGGGGGTGAGAGGATTCACCAGAGACAGAGTGAGGAGGAGTAGAGGCTGATGTGCTGAAATACACAGCTAAGGGAAGCAGCGGGCAAGACAGGAGAGGTCAGCTGCCCCATGTGGGAATCTCCCTGGCTGGCTGGGATCTAACCTGTGCTGCAGAGGCCGTGAACAGCCCCACTGTGCAGCACTCAACTGCCTGCGCCACCTGGGAGGCCCTAAACCTTAAATGCTTTAAGAGATTGTTACTAAATAAAATTATTAAAAACTAAATAAAGAACATATTCTTATTATCAGGACAATGATAATAAAACTTTGATTATCTCACCATATGATATCACCTTAAACTTCTAAGCACAGTGAGATTAACAAGCCAGAGAATTTACAAAAGCAGTGACTCATGAAAGAAATTGGGGGACTACTGAGTAAAGGGGTTAACCAGTAAGAGAAATTTTTGGATCCAATAATAACAAAAGTATTTTGTTGTTTCTCTTCTCTCCCAAAACCATTATGAAACTGGGTATCATTCTGTAACTTTTTGAGAGTGGGAGAGAAATAGAAGGTGGTAGAAGAAATTGAGAGCATAAGAATAATGTCCTCAAGAATAATGTCCTCGGATGATTAAAGAATACTTCCTACTAAAAAAGTAATATGAGGGCCTCCCTGGTGGCGCAAGGTGTGAAGCACTGCACTATGAAGCCATCCCCGGCCTGCCAGGGAGCAACCCACATGGCACAGGAGGCCTCTACTGGCTCTCCCCCTGCTCCCCTCGGCAGCGTATTTCAGTCACTCTGCCTGTTCTGTTTCCCCATTCTGTCTCTGGTGAATCCTGTCATCCCCTGCATCTCTGGCCTGTACCCCAGCTCTTGCATGCATAAATAAATCAATCTTTAAAATTAAATAAATAAAAAGTAATATGAGGGCACTACTACCAAATCTCCTGCCCTCAGCTTACAATCAAATTGCATTCATTGTTTTCGTTTGTTCGTTTTTGCATGTAAGGACTGGGGTGTAGGCCAGAGGTAGGGGGTTGGGGGGCCTCCCTGGTGGCTCAGCGGGTTGAGCGCAGCGCTGTGAAGCTGTGCACAGCCTCTGCAGAATGGGTTCGATTCTGGACGGCCCAGCGAGAATCCCACATGGCGCGAGAATCCCACAAGGCGCAGCAGACCTCTCCTGTCGCACTCGCTGCTCCCCTCAGCAGTTTATGTCTGTTGTCTGCCTGTTCTGCTCTCTGCTCTGTCTCTGTTGAATCCTCTCACCCTCCCGCACCTCTGGCCTGTACTCTAGCTCTTGTATAAAAATCAATAAATCTTTTAAAAAAAAAGAATATTATAAAAAAAGAATACACAGCTAAGGGGAAGAGCTCTCCTGTGTAAAGGAGAGGTGTGCTGTGCCATATATGGGTTAGCTCTTATAGACAAACTCAGTGCACAGTAGCAGTGACAGTGCTAAGACTTAAACCCCTAGGCCACCAGGGAGACCCAAAATTGCATTTACTTTATAAAAAAAAATGAGGTAGGGCCTCCCTGGTGGCTCAGCAGTTGAGCGCTGGGTTGCAAAGCTGCCCGCAGCCTCTGCAATGCCAGTTCGCTCCCCGGCTACCGGGTGAGGGTCCCACATGGTGCGCAGAACTCTCCTGCCACCTGCTGCTCCCCTCAGCAGTGTACTTCATCAGTCTGCCTGCTCTGCTCTCCACTCTGACCCTGGTGAATTCTCTCACCCTCCCCGGCTTCTGACTGTACCCAGTGCTTGTATAAATAAATAAATAAATCTTTTTAAAAAATGAGGTTACTTCAAAATAAAAAAATTTAAATGTATTTCCAGTTTTTTAAATACGTATTTCGGGCCTTCCTGGTGGCAGAAGGGTTAAAGTCTCAATGCTATCAAGATTATCAAGCTCTTGCCAGCCACTGCCTCACGAGTAAGTTCCCTGGCCAGGGAGTTAAGTTATCACGTGGCGCAGCAAACCTCTCTTGCCTTGCCCAGGGCTCCTCTCAACAGTATATTTCAGTCACTCTGCCTGTTCTGTTCTGTCTCTGGTGAATCCTGTCACACCCTCCCTGCATCTCTGGCCTGTACCCCAGTTCTTGTATGCATAAATAAATCTTAAAAAAAAAAAACAGGCCTCCCTGGTGGCGCAAGGGGTTAAGCACAGCACTATGAAGCAATCCGCAGCCTCTGCAGCATGAGTTCGATCCCTGGCCACCCAGGGAGCAACCCACATGGCGAAGCAGACCTCTCTTGACTCGCCCGCTGCTCCCCTCAGCAGTGTATTTCAGTCAATCTATCTGTTCTGCTCCCTGCTCTGTCTCTGGTGAATCCTCTCATGCCCCACATCTCTGGCCTGTACCCCAGCTCTTGTATGCATAAATAAATAAATCTTTAAAAAAATTTAAAAAATACAATAAATTTCCCAAAATATTCCCATCTAATTTTTGATATTTTATTTACTTTTATAGACAGCCTAGAATATAAAAATGTCACAATACTAGCAGTGCAAACCAAGCTCAATCACCTAAAGATTTTGATCATAGGGCCTCCCCGGTGGCACAGCGGTTGAGTGCTGGGCTGCGAAGCTGCCCGCAGCCTGTGCAGCACCGGTTCAATCCCTGGCCGCCGGCGAGGGTCCCACATGGCGCGCAGACCTCTCCTGCAGCACTCGCTGCTCCCCTCAGCAGTGTATTACGTCAGTCTACCTATTCTGCTCCCAGCTCTAGTGAATTCTCTCACCCTCCCATGCTTCTGACTGTACCCAGTGCTTGTCTGAATAAATAAATCTTTAAAAAAAATTTTTTTGATCATAATCAACCATATGATACCTAAACATATTCAACATTAGCAGAAAACCAGACACCATCTTTCCTAAATACCCTAAGGTTTTTTGTTGCTGTTCTACTACCTACTTAGTAGTTGATTTGAAATGTTAATACCATACCACAAAGGTACAACAGCTTTTGTAACCAAGAAATGTTTCTTACCTCTCCCAAATTTTAAAGAAAAAAAGAGGAGGCAGAAAGAGACAGTAAATCAATTACATCATTAAACCAAGTCAACATCAGACACAAACCTCTATGAAGAACATTTTAAATAAATAAATCATAATTATAGGAAATAATTTGCTTGAAGAGATTTTTCCCTTCCAGATAGCAGAGATTACTCATATATCTTTTTTTAAAAATCCCTCATTTATCTCAAATAGTTTTATCTGGAGAACATATATTTAAAAAATATATTTACCAATCTGGATATATCAGATCATCCAAGCATCTGAACCAAAAATAAATTATTTAAGAACACTGGCATTTTCAAAA